ATCAGTTGATTTTGATCCATATACTGAAACAGTAAATGTTGTTACTGGGAAATGCTATCGTTGTAAGCAAGTCAAGACATTGATTGTTTCAAGCGTCGGAGCAAGCATTCTTATTATTATGTTAAATGCACTATGACTTGTTCTGAATGCTTGGATACATGCAGTTTAAAGGGATAGTGTTATAAATATTAGGAAGATGGGGTCAATCAAATGCACAAGATGCCACAGCAAAAAACCTGCCGAAGGATTCGGGTTCACTAGATTGGGGCAACCTTGGGGCAACTGCATAAATTGCAGGGCAAAAAGACAACACTACAAGAAAACGGAAGCGGTAGATAAAAATCTTGAAGTCCAAGAAGTGTTTGATCACGTCAACCAGTTGTTGACGAATGGTCTGTTTCTGGAAAACTACTTTATGCTATTTGGAAAGCACAAGGATTCGGTGATGATTGAAATTCCTGTTGATGACAAACCGGAACAAACAAGCTAAATCCTTTTATAGAATAATACTATACTGTAATTATAACTGTTACAACAATCAGTTATATATTATAATAGTCATATCAGAGTTACAACATTATTGGAGAATCAAAGAAGAGAAAGCACGTTACACCCTTAACCCTGAACCCTGAACCAAAACTTCTTCAAGGACCTGATTGCCTATTTTGGGCTATGGCACTTGGATAGATACGAGTATTGAGAAAATAGTGTTTCTGAGACTGTATTTCAAACTTTTTTGGAGTAGGTGGTGCCAACAGCCGAAAAATAGGCAAGGTAGCCTCTGACTGTTTTTCTGGGTTCCTGAGGTTTCCCTGTAAAAAAGCAGCAGCATGTCGCTTTGACATTCCATTGCATGACTACTCGCCCATGTTTTCCTTGAGTCACCAATGCTCTGGCGAAGTGGCCCAGCCAGGCCTTGTCAGCCAGCAGATTCCACCCGATCTGGAGCCATTGCTGAAGCTGGGCCGCATTGTCGGCAAAACGGTCAGAGCTCCTTTTTCTCCGCAGACTCTCGTGCACTTAGGAGCAAGCCCTTCACAGAGGAGCAGAGATCAATAATCTTTACGAAGGCACATTCGGAAGCGAAGTCTTCGAGTTGGGAGAGCGCCCAAAGATCCATTCACATCGTAGATTCCACGACCACGAAAGGTGTTCGGCTATCTTGCCTGCCAGGTTGGTGTGTATTCCGCCAACCACATCCAGCCGCCTCAGAGACCCAAGGTGCCAATGCCCCACTTTTTCTGGGGCAAGTTGCTGGTGGCGCTCCAGTGAGTCTTAAGGCATCTACGGGTTTCTCGGCTGTTTTTTGTGGAATCTGCCGGGATTCTCGGGTCTCGAACGCCAGGCACTTGTGGTCTTCGGCCCTCCATCCGTCGGGAAATCAACCCTGAGCATGGAGGCGCATGAGGGATTCGGGCCCAAGCAGTCAACATGCTTTGAAGCTGATGCAGTGATCGAGCCCTCAGAACCTGGTTTCCCAAGATGACGTCGGGAAGCAGCTGTTTGTTGGGAGGCTTTGTGGGAAGAAGACATGAGGTTTGAGTCCACAATAATCGCCCCGTGACGAGCTTCTTGCAAGCTTTGTGCCCGGAGAACATCGGGGTTGCAGCACCAGCAGTGCGAGCAAGATCTTGAATGTCTGCGATTCTCTTCCGTAGAGCACGACCACGGTGTATAGCGCCATGAAGCTGCAGTCGGATCAGACATCTTTGCTTTCGGATCAGGTCGCCAAGCGTATTTTCGACACGCCTGGCAACGTTGTGTGCAGGGCACCGAGCGCGGACCGAAAGGAGACGGCCCGGCGCCTGGCCCTGTTCTCAGTTTCCGAGGTGTTGATGGCAACGACGTGCGCGACGCGCACGACGGGTTTCAAAAGGCCAGCTCGGTGGAGCCCATGTGTCGAAATTCCAAAGAAGTTGCTGAGAAATGGTTTGCTTCGGAGCTCTCTTCTCGAATGTTCCTGTCCACACGGCAAAAGCAGGAGGACTTGGTTACTCTGGTCGACCCATTCAGGCTTAGCCGGGGCTCCCTGCAACTTCGCCGTGGCCAGAAGAAGAGAGAAAAAAGAGGGAGAAGGATTTCGGCTGCGGCTGGTTGTGAGGTGGCCCAGCACGGCTTGCAGCACAACCTGATCCACACCGATGCCTGGGAGATCCTGAAGGCCGTGTTTGCGCGGTTGGGTAGCGCTCGGCTTCGTCTAGCTCTCCACCTCAGGCAACGAAGACCGTTGAAAACCTGAAGAAGGACCGGGAAAAGAGGGGGGATTTAGGAGGGTCAGACCGAGGCCTCTGGGGCGCACAGAGCTGGAATTGTGCTGGAGATGGCTCCATCAAGGTTCCCTTCCTGGCTGCTTCCCCCCTACCTCCATCCATCTCCAATCTCCCGGGAAGCGGCCCCACGTTCCGCGGAATCACCCTCCGACTTGTTTCAACATGACACTGACAGTAGGACTGTTGTGATGCTATCGGGCTTCTTCGGAACGTTCCGAAGCGATTCATTCTTGTCAGCCGGTTGATAGTGCTTCGTTTCAACAATTTAGCCACGATGGGCTTGACGGCGATGAGAGTGCACGCCCTCTGCTGCCCCGTCCAGCAGAGTGCAGCCGTCGGGGATGCGAAGCAGCTTGCCTCTGACCGAAGAATCACCCTTCCGCACTTTCCATGTGTGGGCTGTCCGATATGCATCTCGTGCCGTGGTGTGAGGACATCTTCGCTTTGGGTGTGAAGAACCGACAGAATCTGATCATCCCAGAGTGCACCTTGGCTGAGGAGCGTGTCATCAGGTATTAGGCAGCCGGGTGTTCGGCACCTATGCCGGTGGTGTAACTTGCGGCTCACCTGTATGCAACAAGCGTTGACAAATCGGCGTCTGCATTTAGAGCTGATGTGAGGGCGAGCTCGACCGACTGCATGTGCCCTGAAGTCGCTGTATGTTGTTTTTTTGGCTTTGCTGCGTGCTTCCCCGAGAGTAACCCTCCATGTTTCCTCAGTTTGTACCAAGAGTTCGATCCAGAAGCTGTGAGAACGGTCCGTGATTTAGCATCCAAGTTCCAGCACTTCGTGAGATTCAAGGGTTTCAGATGCGGGGGATCCGCTGAGGTGCGCTTAAACCTGAGAGGGTTTACAAGATGCTGGAGCAGATGGAAAAGGCAGCAGCTTGGCTATGGATGGACCTTGATGTTGGAATGAAGGGCATGGGCAGAGGCTCGTATCAGGTATGTTTGTTGGGGTTGAATAATGCTGCTAGCAGTATTACTGTTACTGCTCCTGCTTCAAAAATTTCTACTATTTCTGCTGCTGCTGCTGCTGCTGCTGCTGCTAGTACTAGTACTACTACGACGACGACGACTACTACTACTACGACGACACTACTACTGCTGCTGCTGCTGCTACTACTACTACTACTACTACTAGTACTCCTGCTGCTGCCACCACCACCACCACCACTACTGCTATTGGTGGTGCTGCCGCTGCTGCCGCCACTGGTACTACTACTGCTAGTGCTACTACTCCCACCACCACTACTACCTTTGCTGCTATACTACCACCACTACCACTGCTCCTGGACCTGCCGCCGCTGCTGCCGCTGCCACTGCCGCTGCCACTACCACTTGCACTTTCACTACCACTATCGCTACCACTGCTGCAATTACTAGACTGCTACTACGTCAGTTGCGACTACGACGACGACGGCGACGACGACGACAACTACCACGATTTAGTAAAAAAAGTATGTGTGCTACTACTACGACGACGACGTCTACTTCTATTACTACTACTACTGCTGCTGCTGCTGCTGCTGCTGCTGCTGCTGCCAGCACCACCACCACCGAGATGACGACTACTATCAGGGTCGGCTTCTTGGCCGACAGGTCGGGTCATGCTAGCAAGAGGTCATGATATCCGAGCCTATCCAGGGTCTGCCGAAGGCCACACCTAGTGTTAAACCACAGCAGAGCCAGCTGATACAACTCGATCCGATACTTCGAGAGTTGACCCTGCGACCGCACTTCCTGGCTTTCCAGGACTACGAGATGCACGCCATTTGCCTCTGGGCACCTCTTGAGGCAGCGGTGTTTTCGGGTTCCTTTTCGAGTTTTGAAAGATTTAGGAGCCCAGGTTAGCAGTCAAACATTGCTTGCCCTTCGTCCTCGCTGGGCGTGTGCGTGTGGGGGTCTGTGCACAGAAGTGTGGGGAAGTACAGTGACTTAGGATGAAACTTTTTCTGTCAGCGCTCGGCCCGGGAGGCCGCGCAGCAGCGGGGAAGGATCAGATCGCTGAAGGCTGGGAGTCGACTTTGAGATGCCTTGCTGGGCTGAAACACCCCGCCGGTGTCAGCAGACAGGCTGGAAAGGCCTACAGCCCCAAATTCCACGGTCCCAGTTGTCCGGCGCTTGGTTGAGGAGTCGCTGATATCTGGCGTGGCAAGCGGCAACCGGCAAGCCCTCAAGCAAACGCTGCTCTCCTGGCAAGGTGTCGGGGCTGTTGATTGTGCGTGGCATTGGCACAAGAAGATCCAGGAGGGAAGCCGAGCTTACTGCAGTGTCTTGGCTTAAAAGGGCAGTGATGAGCGCAGCAGTAGCGCAAGGGTGGTGCTAGGGTTTTGTGGAACTGTGGAGACCCTTTAACGGAAAGTGATCAGCCACCATGAAGCTCCGGATCGAGTTCGTCGTCCAAAGGCTGGACGGCTAGACTAAATGAACATGAATCTCAAAGCTCTACATGTGAGATTTTGTCTAGAGGTCCGCGTGCTCTTGTGATGCAATTCGGCTTTAAAATGTAAAGCTCTGAGTCTGCGCAATGCAATAGGTCCGCGAAACGACAACAATGATCTGCGATAATGTTTACTTTGCAGACTTTGGGGCATATATTGCTTATGGAGAACTTTGGATTTCTGCAGGCAGACAGGTCTTGCAAGTGTCACTTCGCAATGCCGCAGCCAAAATCAGGTGTGCAAAAACAACGGCAGTGGCACGTGACAATCCTCATTAAAAGCACCCTTTTGCTTCACCACAGTTGTATCTGACCCGAGTGTTTCCGCTCGGCATGAGTGAACACCAAGGCGTCCGATGCTATGACAACACAGTCAGACCATGTCATCCTGCCTTTGCCCCGGAAGTTTGAAGTTTCTCCCTGGAGAGCTCAGGTTTTTAGGAACCTTGCCGCTGTTCAGGGCGGAAGTGACTTGCGGATTCGAGCTGTCAAAGGCCTGTTTGTCTTTCTGTCCGTGGATGGGCACCAGAGGGCTCTGCTCGTGGCGCGGCGCTGGCAGTAGCCCTCCAGAAGACTGTCGCAGCCGAGGTTCACCTCGAAGAGTTTGAGTGCGGCAGCCCAGCCTCTCTTTGGGTTCAGTCGGTTGAAATCTCCTGCGCCGTTTGGCCTTTTGCCTTGCCCGGTCTTGGTCTCAGGCTGTTGTGAGGCTGTAGTGGATCTTCGACGACACTGAGAGGTTTGATTGTTTGATTCAATGCTAAATTCCCTATCATCTTCTGATGCTATCCAATGCAGGTCTGGCAAGGGCAAGCCATGATGGCTTGTATTGGAGTAGCGGCCAGTGCGACCAGAAAAGATTCGCCGGCCGAGGCGCTTGACAAAGATGAGCAAGGAGGAAGCAGAAGCACACAGCCGAAACTGCATGCTTCTGGGTCGCAAGATCGCTGGGCTTCGAGGGCATGCTTCGTCGGCAGCGGTGTCAAGGGTTTGGGCGTCAGGACTTGAGAGTCTTCCAACTGCTTTTTCTCTCCTTTTGGTTGACACTCCTCAAGAACTCATACCTGTTCTCGCGACACAACTCGAAAGCTGTGCCAGAAGCTCCACCCTTGCCTTTAGGCTCGTGTTTGGTTTGCTCGACTTCCCAAGGCTGACACGCTCGGCGCGCGGCGGCGGCGTCCGTTTCTCTCAGGCGCCCTGGGAGGTGTTGCCTTCCAGGATCGCTGTGCATGAGCCTGAGAGCTCTGACTTGCCTACTAGATCCTCCCAAACTCAATTCGTGCCGGCCTTCTGCAACGGAAGCCACACCCTCCAAAATGAAATGACGTGTGTGTACATATATATATATGTATGTATATATACATACATACCTACGTACATACGTACATACATACATACATACATACATACATATTAACATGTATCATGTATGCGTATAGCATGGTTATATATTCACAGCTTTGTGGATGCATAGACCATGGATCTCGCAACCGCACTGGCTCTGAATCGGCTTCGTGCAGTTCCTGCGTGAACAGATACGGAAGAATGCTTCTTTTTTTTTGCATGCTCCTGGACAGACAAGTTTCCCCAATACCAATGCCTGCACCTGCCAGATTAGAAGTGCAACCTCGCGCCTGCAAGGCCAGCAGGTGTGTTGAAATGCAGGGTTTGGCCGCAGGGATCTTGTCTTTCGCTGTCCTGTAATTTTGATGCGCAGCTTTGGACATGTTGTTGCCTGACACTCGGTGCCAAGGCCAAGCCGGACTCTCCCAGCAACCCCCACTCGTCTGAAATCTACATCCATGGCACACAGTGCACACAGTTTGTTTTCTCCCTGCACATCTCTGGAAAGATGTGCAGGACGGGCAGCCTGGTTATCAGAGTTTTTGCTTTCGTCCGCAGGAACCCTGCATTTGTCGGCTGAGAGCCTGGCGCAGATGCTACAGGCTCGAGCCCGGAAGTCGAGGTTTGCTTCATGTATACTAAATGCAGTCTTCTAAGACTCGCTATATCCGCTAGGTGCTGTGCTTCGGAGTATGGGATTAGTTTCAGTCTTCAATGGGCGGGACTTTTGGAATCCTTTTCGGAGCAGCGGGGCAGTCAGATGCAGGAGAAATGCTGAGCCGAGGGTCCGAGAAATGGCAGTCGCAAGTGGCAAAGAGCATAAAATGTCTTTGGGATGGTATGTGTCTGCGAATTTGGCCAACTGCCTGCAACGAGCGTTGAAGTTGAAGTGGGCTACAGCCGGGGGCCAATCTCCAAACAATGGTTCATGCTGCCTTCAGGCTTCGCTCGTCCGTGGCCGGTGGCAAGGCCGGATGACACTCACCCACGTGTGTAGCCCTGTCCCTCTTCCTCTCCCTCACTGCCTCTCTCGATGTGGGTCCTTGGCTGTTCCCCGCCTCGGAAACTCAAAACGCAACGCACTTCTGGAGGCGCGATCTCCATGCTCGTGATTGTTGCCAGCCTCTTAGCGACGTCTACGTGCGTTGGGCCTTAAAGCGTATTCGAGGTTTTGAGGGCTCCTAGCTTTGTGTCGGATTGGATCGCTTGTTTCCATCGCCGAGTCCGCAGCTTGATAAGGCCGGATGCCTTTGCATGATGAGGACACGCCTGTGGCTTGCTGGCTAGGTGCCCTCCGCCGTTCATTGTTGCGAACTTATAGTTTTGTTCCGGTCTTTTTTGTTATGCCAAGAGTGCCATTTCCGGACAGGTGGTGTGAAATCCTCAGTATAGATCGTGTTTCCCTGCTTGGCACCAGCCAGCCTCCCTGAGAAGCGCAACCCTGAAGTTCTGGAGGCTCGCAATCGGACCTGCGATTTGCCAGATGGATTCTCTTCTCGAGGCCTCGTGTATGAAGAGGCGGAGAGTATGGTCCCATCCCTCTTTGGATGACTTCTTCGGAGTCCTGATCTCTGTTTCTGTTATTAATACGCGGTTACATCGTGGTCGAAGAGGGACTGGGATCTCCACAAAAGCCTTTTCATCCCAATGCACAAAGTGCTCCTGACTTCCAGACTTTGGCGCTCGCAGCATCGTTTCGAGCATCGTAAACGCTGAAAGAAAGAGAGCTGGTTCTTTTCTCTGCACTGTGGTCAGCATTCCGAGGAAGCAGCAATCTCGAAGTCTGGGCCATGAAGTGTCCGTTCTTCGCTGTCAATCGTACGCGAAATGGCATTGGGCCTGCTGTTACCCACCATGACGGAAGCTTCTTGGACTTATACAACATCCATGCGACAAATGTAGTGTTACGCCGCACTCCTAACGCGAGCATTAGCCTGGTGTTCACACCTTGTTAGCCTCCCGAATGCATCCGTGTCATGATCTCTATCCGTGCTCCCCAACCATACACATCCCACACCACCCCATTTCCGCTAGTGTGAAAAGGAAGAGGCTACCGGTGGCAGGGTGATGCCAATGCGGAGCTTGACCGGAGGTCAGCTTCATCTCGCAGACTGAAAATCATTCTTCGCCGTTTCAGAAGAAGGGAGCTGAGGCCCTAGTTTCAAGCACATCCGATCGTTTTTATCCCATCCGATTTCCAAATTTGCTGCCCGCGATCAGCCCCAACCCCAGTCTCCAGCTTGGAATTTAAGAGGCGCTGTGCAGCTTGAGAGCCATCGGATTCGGTCCGCTCCTCCAGGTCCCTTCAAGCATTTACACATGTCGTGACTCTCGGTGGTCGGGACTATATGTCATGGATTCGCTACGCTTCCCACTGCGATGCCCGACTGAGAGGCTGGAAGTTTCAAGGCTTGTGAAGCGAGAGTTTCTGTTTTAGCGAAGTTTGGATAGCTCAACGGCGGTATCAGCACTTGTGTGCCCATAGGAAGCAGATTGACGTGGGATGCAGCAGGGTAGCCTCCTGAATAAACCAATCATGCCACCGCCGCCCGCCACCGCCACCACCACCGCCGCCGCCACCACCACCCACCACCACCACCACCGCCACCGCCACCGCCACCGCCACCACCACCACCACCACCGCCACCAGCGCCATCACTGCCAATTTGTTTTAAGCATCGCCTGCCACAGAACGTCTTTTTGGTCCATGCAATGTGGCCTGTAGTCTATAAGCAACATGGGCATGAATGCCCGGTGAAAGGCATCAGCAGTCGGGACTTGCATGGGAGAATCCGATATTCTGTCAAGCTGGGTGGAGCCCCTGCAAGGAACACCTTGAGATCATGATCGATGAAGCCGACAACACATGAAGTATGCCTAAGTCGTGATGTGCCGTCGTAGTCCTTGCGATGCTGCCGTACTCGAGTTCTCCTGGCAGTCGTGGTCGTAAATGCTGCTCCAGTGTCGGACCGTACCTCAACGTTCGCTCGTGAACGGTCTTACTATTATGCCTGTGAGAGCCAGCGTCGACGCCTGTCCATGCCCCCTGCATACTGCTTGGTGACGAGCCTGACAGTGATACTCACTTTGGCGATGACGTTGATGAACTCGATGCTGATAACCATCAAGACGATTAAGGTGATGAGGTGGTGATGATTATGATGGTTTATAGTGTTGGATGGTGGTAGTGGTGAAGGCAACGGTACAACAGCACAGAACCATCGCCAGCTCCGTCATCATCTACTGAATCTTGGTTATCGCCATTATCTTTCTTCGTCAGCCCTCGTCGACATTTGCAACCATCGCCGTCGTCATCGTCATCGTCATCGTCATCGTCATCGTCGTCATCATCATCATCATCATCAGAACCATCATCAGAATCATGCGCGATGCTTTTGCCAGGGTCATCGCGTCAACCATTGTTGCATCCGTTTTGCCAACAGTCATCCCCGCAGTGTTGCAATTCAACCTTTCTGCTGGTGACTCTGTGATGAGCAGAACTGCACATGATAAGTCGTTTGATATCACAGCAGATGGGATGGCAACTTGTCAAGCCTTAGTCTGACTCTATCAGCGGCTCTACCCACCGTACGTTTGCACGGAGAGCAACGGCTCCGCACCTGTCATTAAGCCCATCTCGCAGATCTGAGTCTACTATAGCCCTTGGTGGCCCCGACCTTTAGCTGCCCTCCGTTACGGCTAGTGCATGCGAATCGATCTTGCAGTACGAAACCTCCCTCCTGCAATGAGCTCTGTCTTCTAGACTTCTAGACCATCCGCAAGAGTGCACGTTGAGACTTGGGGAGCACAATAGCAGGAGCAGCTCAGGAGCCGCAAGCTTGCACACCCGCGGCCTCTTGGGCTGTTGCATTTTCCTCACAGCGTCAGAAGGAGGCCGTTCTCGGAAAGTGGGCATCCCCGTAACAGCAAAAAATTGAGCTCGGGCGGCACAAGCAGCATCGTCAGGTAGCCGGCACCTACAGAAAGTCACCACGATACTAGTAGGAATGATCGCCTGATGGTCATAGATGTACCACCAGTGACTGTCCCCGTCATCTAGCAATCGTGGCTGCCGCCACACCTCGATCCCAATCCATGTATCTACTAACACTTGTGGCCCGGAGCCATCTTCCACGCTGTGCCCATGACTTCGTGAATTCCGGCGATGCGTTGCCCGCGCATGGCACGTGGCGCTTCTATCGAGAAAAGCTGCGCTTTTTTTGCGCCGAAGCGCAAGCCAGGCCTTGAAGGCGTGAAGGCTAACTAGGGTCACGGCCCCTTCATGAGATTTGGCTCATCCACTCCCCAAGTCCAAGACGTCGGAGCGGGCCATGCTGGCAGGTCGCGCAGAGCAGGATGAAGACCTCTGCCTGGTGCCGAAGTCATCGGGATTTGATAAAGCCTCGTCAACAGCAGAGCATGTGGGTAAGTTTACGACTGTCTTGTGCTTTACAAGTTCCGGTGTGCTTTGCTGGGTTGTCGCCTGGTATGTCCCATATATTCGCCATCTTGATATTCATCCTCCTCCTCCCCCTCCTCCTCCTCCTTTTCCCCTCCTCTTCCCCTCCTCCTCCTCCTCCTCCTCCTCGTCCTTCGCCTCGTCCTTCGCCTCGTCCTCCCCGTCCTCCTGCTCCCTCCCCTCCTCCCCCCCTCCTCCCCCCCTCCTCCCCCCTCCTCCCCCTCCTCACCCCCACCGCCACCATCATCATCGCTTGTCGTTATCGAGCACTACACGTAGTAACCCAGGCATCGCTCAAGCAGGTGCGCAGACACCTGTTTCGCAGCGTCGCGGCTTTCCCAGATACAGATATCTGTCTCCGTGCTGCCTTTGCCAAGATCCGCTCTCCTGAAGGTGCAGGGTCATGGTGTTTTGCGTTGGGTACGGCCGCCAAGTGGAGAATGAATCTGCGCCCCTCCTCTCGCAGGTGCGCAGCATGTTGCAAGCGATGTTGTTCGCAATTGCAACCGCCGCTGTGGCCGCGAAGTCGGGGAAGGGAGGCAGGAGGGGGTCGAGCATTGGAAGCAGCTTAGGCCTAGAACGTCAGCAGTTCGTGTTGCCAAGTTTTCTTGTTTGTTTCGACTGTGGAGGTCTTACCACTTTGAAGTCGCCACTCGATGAGTCTGCATGGGAGGCTTGGAGAGATTGGGCTCAATTGCAACCGCCTTGCCTATAGCGAAGCGCTACTCGTCATGACGATTGTTGCCAGCGATGTCCCCAGCACCAGTCATCTACCAACAAGCACACATTTCCCAGAGGGGCCATTGAACCTACGTGCGAAACCCCACACGTCATGTCATTACCAGAAGTACCTCTACATGCGAAGCAACCGATGGCCTCCCCGGCAATACTTCCTGCATATAAATGAACATTAATTAGTCACGATGGAAGCCACTGGGCACTCCGAAGCAGTGCGCTCCTGCAGTCGAGAGGAAGCACGTTTTACCCGAGTCTTCAACTCTTCTGATCCACAAGGTTATTTTAGGCGAAACGAACATAAGCAGAAGCACTGAAGGGCGCCTTAAGCATCTGACACAGAGACTTTGCCCCAGCAGATGGGTGACCAGTAAAGTGTGACTCCCCTGGCTGGTCGCAGGGCGTGCGTGCGGCGGATGCCATGCCGGGCTTTAACGTGGAGGCTGCCGCCAGCTAAAAAACAACTGAGAAAAGAGTGCTGTTTCGAAGCCTTCCACGCAGGTTCTCAATTCAACTTCCTGCTCCAAGAAGGCTTGCCGCCAGGGATGTTTGTACTTGCGGATCTCGTGAACCAAGCTAGAAGCGATGCTTGCGCTTTTTGCTGAGTCTCCCCGGTTGCAGGTGCGCCGAGGCGACGAGGCCGGAAGTCGCAGCAAGTGCCGCAGCAGCTGTGTGGCCCTGTCGTAGGATCCACTGATTCAGGGGGTAGACCTCGGAACGAGATACCCCAAGGCATGGGTATTTCAATCAAGCGGGCATTTTCTCACAAACCCTGCTCTTGCGGAAGGTCCAGGTCCGGGTGAAGATCGGGTTGTGGCAGCTTTAAGAAAAGTCAAGGTTCGAGGTTCGACCCGAGCCCAAACATTTGGAATGCGGAGCTCTGAGAAGGTCCAGATTTTCTTCGGTGCTGCAACCGGGCAGCAGCATGTGGAGGCCAGCTGGCGAGACAGTAGAGGTGTCGTAATGGCTCCGTGTCTTCCGAGCAGGCCCCTGATTTCTTCTGGTTTGCACAGCCTCGTGGCATGAAGCGCAGGTTTCCGTAGTCCCTTTTGCACCCCAAAGCCGAAACTCCCGGCCCATCCCTTTCCGCCGTCTCCAGCAAGCGGCCTCCCGCGGCTTGGCTGAGCAGAACTTCATCGTGGGAAAGTCTGGGCCTCAGAAGCTGCGAGACAGCAGCATTAGAGTCGCCTTAACTGGGCTCATTAAGCACTTTGCTGAAGCACCACGCCTAAGTCCAAGATCTGCTTGAATGTCCCAACCAGCCTTTGAGGAAAGCCCTGCACTGAACTGAAATCGTTGTGGCCCCATCGCTGTCATGCCACTTTCGTGCACAACCAATCCCACTGTTCGGAAACATTTGGAAAGCAGCCTGCGGGGATGGAAAGAGTGCCGATCAGCACGTTCACAGCAGGAAGAGCTTGTTGCATCACTGCCCTTAAAACCTCCAACGGGGTTAGAAGGTGGCCACCGTCTGCCGAACGCCAGGGTTCCTGACCAGCAGACCTGATAGCGCTGCGTCTCAAAACCACTCTCCTGTCCAGGCACAACGTCCCAGCTGTCAACAAAGGCATTGTTGGCATGTGTCCAGGAGCTTGTTAACCCTTGAGCAGTTTTTTTGGTGTGGAGCGGTCTTGTGATGGCTTCTAGAGCTGTGCAAGTGTATGCAGGGAACGGCTCTTCAATGACACTCGGTGTTCCCCAGACCTGTCAGTGGTATATCTGACCTGTGTGCTTCTGCAATGCTGTGCACACCATACATGGAAGCAGTCTTTGATGCCTGCCCTGCCTCGGCCCGGCACACGTGCTAGGAGACACGCGTCGCATTTCGGTGAAGTCACACGCGATTGACTACACCGTGAATTTGGTGAACATCACCGGTTGCCTGGCTCTTGATCTGGTGCATCGGGTTAGGGGCCTCAGGCTGTAGCTCGGCAGCGTGCCAAGAAGAAATCCGACAACCCTGACTGGTAGTTGCCATCAGCGCTGAGACTCGGAACATGTCACGCATTCGCATTGCTTGCTGCCAACTTTCCGGCTAAACTTGGAATTGACAACTCCCCTAAGTTATTTGGAGTCGGGGACTGTGACCTACTGGTTGGAGCATGGACCCCCAATCCCAGTCGTTTCTTCTAAGCAATCGGCGTATGACAAATGGGGAATAGCAGGGTCCATGGGGAGGAGGTGCTCCTCACTGGTCGGGGATAGTGATACGAGACCAGATAAATCCTCAGCTCGCAAACCTTGTACAGTCTCGATGGCTTAGCTAAGGCGGGCCCCTGCGCATCAAGGATGCCCTATGAAACAACCGCCCTGCATGACGTATCGCTGCTGGAAGGGATCGGGGACCTTGGTCTCAGGCAACTCATGTGACAACTTGGCTAGCTTTGGGGCACATCCGCATTTTCCCGGTGTTGGTCTCGGATTGCGTTTTGACGATGTCTCCTGCGCCCTTCAGCAGCACCACTTCAGTAGTCAATTCGATAGTAGAAAGGAGATCCAGCTGCTCTACAGCCTTTGACGTTGGCCCACAACACCCTGCCAAGCTCTGGTTTTGAACCTGCCACCCTTGGTAGAGTGAAGCCGTTATGTCTGGATCTCGATGGAAGGGGTTCTGCCTTGCCACGCCGAAGCACCTAGCAGGTAGTTTCCTTGGGAAAGCCGCAAGCAATCGGTCAGGAACGACAATGCGAAGCGTGGTTGCACCTTGCATGTGCCAAAAGGCACCTTCTGTAGATGCCTGTTTACCCGAGAGCTGTGAAGTTTGTCCCACTCCACACGTCAGTAAAGCAGCTTCAGACAGGCAATTGCGGCAACGTCGAGAGTCGAGTGTTCGCACACTGGCTCCTTGATTCGGGCACGGGTCTACATCAGGTCTTAAAGGGGCACCTTTGGAGACAGAATTTCTTGCATGCTTCATTCACTGGTCAAAGGATTCGTGCCCTCAGTTCCATGGGTTCTGATGCGCAGCGCCCATCCTAAAGGGCGCTCCGCTGCCATCCAGTTCCAATTAGTTAGTCTAGGGAGCCAGCGCAGACTATCCGAAGTCCTCACGGGAGAGAAGGAGGTGGGGAGGCATGAGACTTCGGACATGCAGAAAGACTGTGCTGACAGCCCCACATGGGGCTGGTCGGCGAAAAAAGAGCGACAGCTTGCTTTCTGGAATGCTTTCGGTGCTGGGACGACCAAAGCATGTCATGCCACTGCTACATGGTTTTCGACCATTCCCGTTAGAACCTGTCGAACGTGGTGAGTGCTCCAACGTAGAACTTCCAATATGTCTCAGCTCGGATTACGCCAGTTTCTGCCTTGTGCCGTCTTGTGCAACGTGTTTCGCCGTCTGCGACTTCCAAGGTCTCAAGAGCAGCAGTTCGACTTCCAAGGCTGCGGGGGCTTTGCGATAGTACTTTTTAGAGGTTTCCGGAAGACACGTGCGGCGTCGGTTCGCGACTTCTGGGGATTTTTCAAGCAGCGCAGTGGCCGAGGTCCGAGGTGGTGAAATCCCTGGCAAAGGCCTTGGTGAGCTGACTCGGAGCTTGGAAGCGGAGTGAGGCTTCCACAAACCGCTTTTCCTGATTTGGCTCCAGGTGGAGGTTTGTGTTTGAGCTTCGCCACCTTGTGTTTTCGGCCTTCGTGGTCGACCTGACCAGTGCTTTCTTGCGAACATCGCGAGGGCTCTTTTGCGCTGCTGCGACTGCGAAGCAAAAGTGGGCCGGCGACAGCCGTGCTGCGTCTGAAGAACCTCTTGGAGTCTACGGAGTCCCGAGAGCTTGCGCAGGGAGGTCGCTGCATTACCATCGGATCTGACTTTGCCGCGAATGACTCTCTGGAGGCCGAGCCTGGCTGGAGTCGCTGTGGTAATGTGCGTGGAAGGGAATCCAATCGTAGCCACCTTGTCACAGTATGCCCGGTCCGATCGAGGCCCCTTTGTGCCGAGAGACAGAGAGCTTCTGTTAGGCACATCTATCCATCGGAAAGCTTTGCCTGGAACTTATCTGCCCATTTTTTCTGGGCTTCCTGTATGCGACATGCAAGTGCAATGCACTTCAGCCCGAAGCTTCTAACAGTCGCGGACAGCACGGAGCTTGGGATCCGGGCTTCGAGGTTGATACTTTCCCTTGCGTGGAGGCCACGACTCGTAGAAGCCCGCAAAGAGGAGTCTTCCAGGCTTCTGGACACCCGGGCCTCCAAAAACCCCCAAGCCGCAGCCGCAGCTCCCTCCGCTCCGAAACCTTCGCTTCAGAGGTCCAGGAGCGCGAACAGGAGCTCTTCAAGTGCCCCCAAAAGGGGGCCCCGCTTGGGGGGGCTTCGTCTTCCGAAGAACTGCCTGGCCCTGGCCTCCTCTGCTTCGGAGGTATTTCTCTGGAGCTTTGCAAGCGGCTTCGGAGAAGGCGTCGAACGTCTCGCCAAGTCCGAGAGTTTCCACTTCTGCGCGGAGTCACGCAGGCGGCGGCCGACCCAGACCGCTGCACGGATGCAGCCGACGTCTGTCAGGAGCTGAAGCGGGTCGGGGGTGGGAAGCTGCGGCCCCCGACAGTTGGATCTTACACTCTGAAGCATTTTTGTGCATTCCTATGGTAATAATCTTTGGAGGCTTGCAACAGGCAGGAAGGTTTCGCTTTAACATCTCTGAATGTCGGGTTGAATTTGACGAGTCTTGCACTGCACTTCCGCGGAAGGCTTTCAGCATCTTCAACGAAAACCTCGAAGGGTTGTTATGTTGTTGATGCAGTTCCACGACAGTTCCGACAGGCGGCTTCAACTTTCAATTTGCCGAGGTCAAACTGAGGTTATTTCCCAAGATTTTGTTCATGTCTACGCCTGGCCCGACCGTCCGGGGTGCCGTATTCTGGGGTGCGTGGAGTTCCCGTGGTCATGGTTTCCACCCGATCTCGTGTGCTGCATCGGGCTGGTGGGTGCATGCCTTCCCCAGGTCACGCGCTGCCGAGTTTCTTGGGCCTGCAGAAGGCCACCGGCACCGGGGTGTCCGAGGATGAAGGCAACTTGCCAGGGCTGCTGAGGCAGTCCGCTTAGACACGATGGTTGAGATTTGGCGCATTCCGGGTGCAAGGAATCCGTTTGGGCTTGCAATCGAAGGACGAAATCAATGGTGAAAATCGTGTTCACGATTGTTCTCGTTGCTATTCCCTGTTGACATTGTTGGCCGCACGATGATGATACGACGAATCATGTGATGACGCTGTTGCTGATGATGATGATGATGATGATGATGTTGTTGTTGTTGTCGTCGTCGTCGTCGTCGTCGTGGTTGTTGTTGTTGTTGTTGTTGTTGATGATATTGATGATATTGATGCTGATGAGGCGTAGGACATTTTCACTTGATCTCTGGCTTGTGGGGAGTGGGGAGTGTTGCTAAAGCAACAGAAGCTCAGGTTTTCGGACCCGGCCGAATTTTTTGATCCTGACCCAGCGGCAGCAAGTTGACCCACAGACGCTTTCTGAAACCCTTTCCCGCAGCAATTTGCTTGCCCGCTTGCTTCACGTTCATCGCGCAGGAGCCTGTTCTTGGGCTCTGGATACTGCAGCTTTGGTCTTGTGGAAACTCTCCAGGCTGTAATGGGCAATGTCGATCCGAATCCTGTGCTGCAGGTCCACATTGACACTAAGAATCACAGCCGTGAAATATGCATCGAAATGCAAGGAGAAAGATGGGCAACACCAGCTGCGCTTGCTTTGCTCCCCGGATGCTCTGGTTGAGGGCACATCTGGCTTTCCGTTACGGCTGTGTCACTGCAGGCTTACGCTCCCCCAAGGAGCAATGCAAAGGTCGCTGAAGTCGCTCTAAGTATCTGGGACGTGAGGACTGTCCTAGCACAAGGCCGGATTGTTTACAGGCGTCACCTACGGCCGTAGCAATGCTTTCTTCTTGTTTCGGATTTGTTGCATCCTCTGCTCTGTCACAAACCCTTGTCATCCGTGTGAGGTGTTGTACGGGGCACTGAAAGGCCCTTTCCAAGGCTCCCAGACCTGAGCTCCAAGGCGCAAGTTGAGGAGGCTCCTGTGGAGTACTTGCCTGACCTGGCAAAGGCTGGGGCGCAACAAAGCTCCTTGTAGGCCCTGTCAAGTGTGTAACAACTTCACCCTAGAGCTGTGGCGAGCCGGCTTGGCCGACTGTGTGTGTGTGTGTGTGTGCCCGTCCTGCCGCAGCAGGACTTGCAGGAGTCTGACATCGTAGCTCTGGCTCCCATCGCTGAGGACGTGGCGGAGGCGGGCTCTGACTCAGACACTCTCGGTTCGACGATTCCGCCGAAGATCCAGGCAAACGCCATGAACAGCGGAGAGGAGCTGCCCACGCTCCTGAAGGCCTGCATGAGGATCTCAGATTTTGTCCACCCTGAGCTGCCTCCCTGGGCATCTAGGCATTCAGAGAGTCCCAAGTTGATCCCAAGATGTCTCTGACCCAGCTCTTCAATGACCAGCGCGACCTCAATATCGATGAGATCAAGGCCAGCAGATTCACCGAGGTTGAGGCTTGTAAGATCGCGGAACACTATTCAAGGTTCATGGTGGGAGGAAGTTTACAGGGTCGTGTGTGGAAGGCGCCGCTGGCGCCTGCGAAGCCTGCGAATCCTGAGAAGCAACTTGCAAGGGCAGCCTGCTTGCATTTCCGGGCTTCTCTGCTTGAGGCTGCTCGTCACTGCAGCCTTTCGGGTTCCGTCTTCGCTTAAAGCTTTCGCGTAACCGCCAAGGCACAAACCGACAGCCTGCATGAGCAGCGACCGGCCACCTGCCTAAGTTGGCGTCTGACAGTCTTTTCAACTTAAATTTTCGGTCCTTTCTTGAAGAGAGCTTCGGTTCTTTATTGCCGGGCTGAAATGGCAAGGAGACCAGAGCCCGTGGGGAAGAGCAACCTACCATTTCTACGCGAAGTCTTCCTCAAAGAAAGAAAGTGCTTTGAGAACCAATCGTCATGATCAGAAGACTGCCAGGCAAACAACCGCAGTTGGAAGGCAGCAACAATAGAAACAGCAGTAGCAGTGACTGTCATCCGTTCTTCAGGGTCACGATATGGCACACGCTTTCCTAGCCGAATGCAGGCTTCAGAGCTTAGGCCAACCTGCAACGCCCTTGTAACATCACGGCTAGGGCTTCCGCCGGAGCATGACGTCGCCGGAGAACTGGGCAAAGGGCGAGGCACGGCTACGAAGCTGCTCAGCCGGATCAGCGGTGCCAGCCGGTTTCAGTCAGCTGAAAATCACTGGCGCGATATTTGCAGCCTCCCGCAGCCTTCGGACTTGATTTCTCAGTCGAGAGCGCTGCAAGCCCAGGTGGGGTGAGGAAAGCTGCTGCACCTCGGTTTGGACAAGCGAAGCCGACAGGAATCACACCGTCACTGGATCTTTCCTTTCATGATCCTGAAATTCCTTATCGCGACTGTAGCTTGAGACACAAACCCTTTTGGAAGCCCTCTTTACTTTGCTTTTGCTGGGGTGGGGACAACCTCTGGCAGGCCTAGTAGAGAAGGTATGGCAGCTGCAACATACGTATACAAATGCAGATGCATAAACACCTTGACACGTGCTTTTTGCGATGCTCTTTCTGATCACACGAAGTAATTCGTGTACACTGTAGCCTATACGCAGACCCCGAACAGAAGCAGCACTTAGTCCCAACAGCTGGCCACACATCTAGGTCGGCACAGCTGACTCGTGTGTCTCGGGTTGTGTGCGGCCGACCATCCAAGGGCAGTGTGATGAATGCCATCTCGGCGTCAAGAAATTCTCATATGCTGTGTGCGAGTTTCGGAGCCTCAGCTGCAGCTACAAGGGTACGAGCATCTCAGCGCAAGTTGCAGTTCTTGAAGTTTTTCGTGAAGTTGAGACCAGACCAGGTGCCTTGTATCTTACCGGATCTCAATCACGAGTGTCATGCGTTCTACACTAAGCAACAAGCTGTGAGGAGTTGGGGATTGGTCCTTCACCTCAACCGCCACTTTACAGGAATGACCTCCCAGTATCATCGCAGTCGCTCATCGTTGGCCTGAGCGGGCGCTGGCATCGGAATCCCGGGATTACTTATCGGAAAAGGCTTGGTTCACAGAGAACGACATGTGCAGTGACTTAGCAATACTGTGAGATCCTGGTGAAGTCGGTTTGCTTGACTCCTGGTGGAGCATGGGCCAGCGCTGATGCAGAGACGCAACCCCTGTGACGTGTCTGCACCGATGCGAAAGATGTGTTTAGTAATTAGTTTTGGGTTTGGAGTTTCGGCATCTCTTACTGCTGCATTGGTCGCAGCTGGCAACTATTTCTAGCTGCACTATGTCGTACACAAGACGAAACGAGGGGTACGGCTAGAATCATTCCGATGATCTTACCAATTCCAGTCATGTGAACAGTTGCCTAACGGTGCGAATAGTCCGTATCATGGTCGGAATACGACAACGGTCGATCATGCGATGCCTGGACACAGGATCCTCATGAGCAGTAGCAGTAACGCTAGCAGCAGCAGCGGCGACGGCAGCAGCAGCAGCAGTAGCACAAGCCGGAGCAGCAGCAGGAGCAGGAGCGGCAGCGGCAGCGGCAGTGGCACCAGCAGTGACGGTGGCAGCAGTAGCGTGGTGGTGGTGGTGGTGGTGTTGGTGGTGGTGTTGGTGGTGGTGTTGGTGGTGGTGGTGGTGGTGGGGGTGGCAGTAGCAGCCGCAGCAGCTGCACGAGAAGTAGTAGCAGTAGTAGTAGTAGTAGTAGTAGTCGTGGTCGTCGTCGTAGTCGTAGTGTGGTCGTAGTGTATACAGTCGTAGTGTAGTCGTAGTTGTAGTGGTAGTGGTGGTCAGAGTGGTAGCACAAGTAGCACAGGTAGCAGAAGCAGCAGAAGTAGTAGTCGTAGATGTAGTCTCGGTTTGTAGTCGTCGCAGTGCTAGTTTCTTAGCCGTACCCGTGCTCGTAGTTAAGGCAGCGGCGGTGGTGGTGGTGGTGGTGGTCTAGCTCACACTGGTCACGCTAGTTAGGCCGTAGCCGATCCAAGCCGCATTCCGAGGCTCTTCCCCAGCTTAAAATCCAGGGGTGCTCGACTTTCCATAAAGTCTTTTGCATAGCTTCTACGAGATTACGCCTGACACGCCATGCACGAAAATTCTTAGCTACACAGACAAGGGAGCTCCGTGCCCACAGAGAAACGACCACAGCTCCGCAGCCTCTGGTCCCACCAATGCAACCGTATGACATCATGGCCTTCAAAGCCTCTCAAGTCCATGTAGTACACTCGGGGATATCTATGTGTTGCACTGACAGGCTGCAAGCCGAGGGTCCATCCGATGTTGATGTTCAAAGCTTTACTGTCGAACAGACTCTGTGCAAAGAGAGGTTTTGCAGCACAGCTCCGCAAGGGGTCCGAGGCCTAGGGCTGAAAGCATCCCAGAGCCAGGTCGTAGCCACCAGCTCTGGGTCGGTCGTGCCTCCGAGAGCTCCATTCTGTCTGCACAGCACGTAAGGCGAAGCTGCCCTTTTTTCAGGCTCTTGCTTTGGGCGACGTGTCTCTAGGTTTCATTTTAGTGTCGGAGGGAGGAACCGCTTTCTAAAGCTGCAGCCTGGGAGGGCATCTTCGTGCTTTCATTTATCACGTCTTCCACCGGGGGGATCATCGCCTGTCAGCGCTCCAAGCTCCTGGGTCCGCCAGAGAAAGCAACCTCCCCCCAGCATCGCAGGCCCCTTTCTGTGCCGGTGATCCAACTGCTTCTTGCGGGCTTTCATCTCCAGAAATGTTGAGAGCTATGCCGGGCGCGAGCGAGTAGAATCGTCATCATCGTCATCAGAACCATCACTGTCGTCACTGTCGTCACGACTTGCAACGCATCGCTCCGATGTTGACTGGAAATTCGCAAAGACCTGACAGGGAGGTTTCACAAGTAGTTGCTACTGCGAGCCTCGCTGCCGACCCTCTGGACGATCCGGAGTACCCGCACTGAGCAGCGATGCGGCACAGACGGCGGAACCTCAACTTCAAGGACGGCACATGATGGGATTGCCCTCGTCTGAGCTCCGAATTGCTCATTGACCTCCGCCTGTTCGTTTTTCTTGACACCCAACATTCCGAGTTGATGAAAGTGAAAACGTGTCGCGTTCTTTCTGAAGCCAAACGAAGCCTCGGACAGACTTGGAGAAGCCTTATATGTGGTCTTCTGGTTTCAAGAGTCTTGCACCCCCAAATTCAACAGCCCTGCAGCAACAAGCCCTGTGTTTATCCTTCCGGCCATTCTCTTCTGCACAGGAGAAGGAGCCAAATTTTGATGCCACCTTTGATGCCACCCTGGACTTTCAGCCTTACGATTTGCGGTGCGGCGCTGGTCATGATGAGGTGATGTCTCTCTAGAGATTTAGTGGACGATGGGCTTCAGCAGCTCTTCAGGGTTGATGCGAGAAACGCTCAGACGTCTTCAGCGTTGCATCCTTGTGTTCTTCTCCACCTCGGGCTTGAAAGGTCTTGCCGTGAAGCAGTCTGAATGTGGATTCTGGTTGGGCTTCGGTTACCGGGGCTTTTACAAAGGATATCTTTGTGGGGCCGCGGTGGATCATCTGGAATTTCGTGCCTCAAATCGTCGCTGATTCAGACGCTAGCGATTGCACGGGCCTGCGGGCTATCACAGCAGAAGTTTCGTGCGGACACAGCGGATGCTCTAGATGCTAGGCCATAGAAGTCTCAAGTAGAAGCTGTTCAGATGTCATCCTTCGCAAGAGGGGGGACAACCACAAAATCCAGTTCTTCGCAGGTTGTGCAGCAAAAAGGATGGGTCAAGGTTTGGCATCCTACAAGTCTCAAAGGTCTGGAATGCAATAACTGAATCTCCTGCCGGTGGAAGCCTCCCTTTGCCTGCACTTGCGCTTGGGCTGACTATTTGGGGCTGAGGCCTCGGGGCAGGGGCAGTTTGTTTCGGGGTGGCTTTTTCTCAACCTTTTGTGGCCCTACTTGCGTGCGTAGGTGGAGGGGGGCGCCTGCAGTCTTTTTAAAGGGCCAAGAAGACGAACATGCTTGCCCCGCGCTGCAGATGTGCGCAGCGAAGGGATAACGGACTCTGGGCCATGCTTGCCGAGGCTTGAATTCGTGCACTTCCTTCCCACTACTGTCGAACTTATTGCGATGTCGCAGACGTACAAATATGCGCTCAGCCATCTATTGTAGAGTATCTAGAGCCTGCGGGCCTGAGACACCTCTCCATTCCAGTTCTCAGAGACGAAAGGGTTCACCTTCGCTGCTCGCGAGGCAGCCCAATTTGCCACATGCTTTGCGGAAGGTTCGAGATTGGCCACAGGCCAAGAGATGTGAAAGTAGGGAACACGAAGCGCTAGTCTCCAGCACGAACCCGACCTCACAGATACGTGGTCATTCGTGGTTCTTTTTGAAACTCACGGCTAATCGGGTTTACATCGCCTTTCAGCAGCCGAGCCTGTGAATGCGTCTTTCCCCATGAGCTGGGCATCCGCGCGAAGTCTCATGTGTAGTGCACGCAAGGCACGCATAGATGCTGAATCATCCTCATGAGATCTCAGCCAGAAGGATCGCAGACGACACTAGGGAGGAGGCCCCATTCCGCATCTTCCAGCTGAGTTTAGGTTTCGAGCATCAGAGAAATTGGCTTACGAGGAACCGTTTAGCTGTGGCAGCATCCAAGCAGGCGTGGCTACTCCTTGAATCCCCCTCAGTGGGGCAACAAGTTGAGCAGTCCCTGCGTTTAGGGCCTCAGGGCGTGCGCGCCAACGAGCGGCATGGGCACTTCCTACACTGTGGGATGTGTTACAGCGCAGGTTGTGAAAACTCCGTTAGGGCCGGAGGCTGATAGTCCTTGTACCTTCTTTGACGGCACACTTATGGAGACTCCGGAGTGACTCTTTGACGTGGGGCAGGCATCAAAAGCGTTAAGTTATGTGTGCGCTGCCCGAACACAGCCCGCAGTGGCGCCAGGCTCCAACCATGTTTGAAGAACTAGATTGCGTTGATGCCAGACGAACCTGGCAATTGGATTGCGTGCAATGTCGGCAATCTGGCGGGACTTTCCCAGAGTTGATCTTGTTGTGTTCACATCTAACCGGACAAAGACGGAGATCCCTCACACGGAACGGGAAAATCCCCATCTCTGCGCGGGCAATGACAGCGGAGGGAAGGCCCCGACAGAGGTGTGCTTCATCATGTGGTTATGAAAGGTGTACATCCTTGTCGGGGCGTCAGCCTTGTTCCATTTCCTATGCCGTTCGATCCTGCAATCCGGATGTGATTCGGCGGACAGCACCTCTCGTTGCCGAACCCCAGCGTGTGCAAAACGGCTCAATCTTGGATTCTCCATCTTCGAAAGAGTAGTAGCGCGCACAGCCAAGATACCCACCAACTTCAGAAAAGGTTTGTGCGAAGGACAGGAGTGTAGGTACTCGTCTTCCGAAGAGACTTCTCCCGAGCACAGCCCATGTGCGTCTGGTGAGGATGCCAATGCTGACCCGCGCAAGTGGGCACTTCCCGATGGGGCAGAGGCTGGCGAAGTCTGTCTCGTTGCAGTCTGTGTTTCTCTGTCTCGAGATTTCGCTTTCTGAAATTGCCGCCTTCCGTCGACTCCTCCGGCTCCCAGAGTTGTGGAAATTCACACGTCGTTTTTCTCTGTGCCCTCAGGAACGACAAGCTTCGCTGGTGCATTCTTTGGACAGGCTCTGCGAGTGAAGGATCATCCCTTTGCCGTGGTTCTGCCCTTGCTAGCACTCCTGCAGAGCAGAGTCAAGAGATGTGCCGGAAGACCAGAGCTGAGGCACCGGGTCGAGTGATTTCATTTCTTGATTGCAGACTTCATGAAACAGAGTCGCGCGGATGCTGCAGGGGTGTCTTCGTTTCTGGACACCTGGATGCAGGACCTGTCTGATGTAGGCTGACTAAAGTCTGGAAGGTTTGATCCTTATCAGATTGGTATGCCGTGCTCGAGTTTCAGCCTGGCAGTTCGGTTTGAGGCTGCAGCTTGGCAAGCTGTGTTTCGCTGGTCCTCACTTTCAATGCTACACGACTTAGCCTTGCAGCTGCTCACATCTCATAACATATGTGCTAGCTGCTAGCGCAGAACCCAACACCTCTGGCGAGTACTCTCAAGAGCTCTCCCGTAGAACCAACACCAACGAAAAGTATCGAGTGCCAAGCCCTTGTTCGACCAGGAGTACAGCTCACTAAACACGACAGACAGGCATTCCTGGGCGATTTGACTTGCACCTCGGCCTGTTTGCCTAAAGTCGTTTCCTGCAGTTTTCAGATCAGCCAAATGGCCTGTCGAGAGCTTCCAAGTGAGACGTGTAGATTCAGCGTAGATAATGTTGCAGCATGCCCGGTTCTTCCACGTTGCAGCCGAGGTACACATGCCGAGGCTGATTGAGGGATTGAGTGTAATGTAGACGAGTCGATTCGGTCTGTCAGCATGTCTTGCCTACAGAGCGAGCCAGACACCTTCGCCCTTGCAGCGCATCCCCGAAAGTGCTGTGCCTTCCATCAGAATTCTCATCAGAACATCGAAGCATGAAGCGGTCCAGCCATCTGCACAGACGCGGCACACGTCCAAAGCCGCACCGGCCAAAGCACAACCGCCGGAAGCCAAGGGGTGCAGTGACAGCGCAGGTGGAAGTGCAGGATGACCGGAGCCGATCCAAAAGCCGCGTCTTCCGTCGGAAGGAAATTCAAAGTGAAGCCAGGCTCTTCAAGCCGTTGCTGACCACTTCGATCTCTGCATTCGTGGCATCTGGGGGAGGATTGAGGCTGAGGCTGGCAACCGGTGTAAACCGCTGTGAACCCCTTAAGCAGCCAGGAAAACGGAGACTCCTAGAAGAAGGCAGCTACCGTAGCCGCAGCCCTAAGCCTGTGCCGAGCCAAGGCTTCGTCGCTTCGACCCTGGGTTGCAGCCTCGGGGCCAGCGCTACCAGGGGGCATAGCGTAGGAGCTAGCCTTGGGAGCTTAGGCTCCCAGAAAGCCGTGACAAAGTCGGCAGAGCTTGGCTTCAGCCTCTTTTTGCTGCGCCCAATTCTGCCTTTGTTGATCCGCAGCTGCCCAAGATAACTGGACTACAACACCCGTCCGCAGCACGCCACAGAGGCTAAACGCCAAGAAGCAAGTGCACTGGGCTTGTCACAATCTGATCCACGTTTGTTGTGTCCACTACTCCACTAAGCAAACGGTAGCCCACCCTGCAGGAGGGCATGCTTGGGTCTTAGGTAGAAGGTTGCATGGCCATGCATGGGATCTTCCAACAACAGGTTGGAGAGGACAGCATCGCAACTACTGTGCTTGACGTTAGCTCCGAGGATGAGCCTTCCCGGCGAAGTCCATGCTTGCTTGCGGCACCAGCCGTGGCGGCTTCCTTTGATGATTCAGTTCTCCAGATGCCGCCAGCAGATCCCTCCAGCTTCAGCTCAGCTCTTGGTCTCGGACCGGATGAGGATGCCAATTCATGTGCAAGGCCACCGCGACTGCCACACATGCTGAAGGACGAAGAAGATCTCCCTTTGAGCATGCTCTTTGCAGACTTCCCTTCGACACCCCGCTGCGCGGCGACCGGAAGCGATGGCAGCAGCGATGACGTCGTGGAAGTACCGCCGACGACGCCCAGGAAGGCCAGGCCCAGAAAGGCCACACCGGAGGAGACAGCAACGCCTGAGAAAACATCACGGCCCAAGGCATCGCCCTCGCAGGCTATCGCCTCGACCCCCCAGAAGGCGGTCACGCCGCAGAAGACGCTGGAAGCCTGGTTCTCCCCCAAAGGATCTCCGAAGCAAAGGCGAAGATCGCCTGAGCCTCGGGCAAAAGCCAAGCAGAAGCGAAAAACTTTGGCCCAGAGCCTGAAGGACAGGCAGAAGGCGAGAACGACCTACGACAAGGAGGCAAAAGCAGCCGCCAGAGCCGAGGCCCGCAAAGCCAAGGTTGCAGAGACTGAGCAGCTTCTCGCAGACACCATCCGCAGCGACCGGAATTTGTATGAGAAGCTGCTTTGTTTTGAGCTCATGGAGATAGAAGAGCTGGCCGAAAGGATTCGCTCAGCGAATGACCAGCTACGTTCTGTCGGCCGGAAGCGCATCCGGGACTTCCTCGAGGCCCAGGGCTTCGTAGTCACACAACAGAGGAAGATTCCAAAGGAGGTCTTCCAGAAAGGATACAGATGAGCGGCTTACTGCTGCAAAGATCTGTCGTCGATGTCTCAATCAGTAGACCCGAGACGGAAGGCTGGAATCTCAGACGCAGACGAAGGAGGTGAAGAAGTGAGGCAACTGGCAGTAGCCACTCAGCGGCTCAGTGTCCGGAAAAGAAATATGCCCGCGATCCTCTGAGCTTCTGCCCACATTTTGCCCTTACGAGGCCCAAGAGCGTGGAGTCCCCGACCTCGTCGCCACCATCGTGCGGAGCCTCGGGCCATGTCTTCAGCGTCAGGCCTACAGGCTCAGACGATATGAGTAGTTCTCTATTTCAGGGTCCCTGACTGGGTCCTTTTTGAGGGTGCCGTGCTGTATTGGGGACTTAAAAATAACAAAGGGACCCTAGTCTAGAAAGCTACCCATAAAGGTTTCAGGCCTCATTGAAACATAACAGGAAGAGCCCGCACTCACAAGAGTCCTTGCAAGGTTTTCAAACTCTTCCTGGTCCGAGGCACGTTTATCTCAAGTGGGATTGGATCCACTGGACGGGCTGGTTGTAAGGTTCTCGAGGGCCTGTTTGACAGAGCAGGAGTTGCTGAGGATCATCCGAGCTTGAGTCATGTTTCGATCAAGAGTGGACTTCTTGACGCCAATTTAACATCACATAGCAGTTCTCGCTTACTCTCACCGTATCTGCATGTGCCTGCCCTTTCGGAGAGGACGTTCGGTGTTAGTATGTTTTTGGCCACCCTTTCGCGAGCCTACGTCCTGGCGCCGGAACAAACCCCGAGGATCCTTTGCCTTTTCAGCCTCGGCCTCTTCCGCAGGTTTCTTCCCCGTTGCTGTCGCCACTCCCTTCTCCGGCGGCGACCCCTGCGGCCTGCGTTGCCTTCGAGTCCAAGAGCCCTACAGAAGCCCGGAAACCTCAAACTCTTGGTCCAGATGCCCTGCGAAGCTTCCTGAAGAGAGCACCAGAACAGAAGGTGGTGATGCTGTTGGAGGCTCCTGAAGTCGAAGGGGATTATTTCTGGCTGTGGTTGGGCAAGCCCTCACCAGGCCGAGTCCCGTGCGCCTTCGCCCCGGAAGCGGCTGCTCTCAGGCAGGGGGGTTCGATGCCTTTTCGAGACTGCTGGAGTTGGGGCTCCTCCCCCAAACAAGTTTGAATAAGTTGAATGGCGGGCCTGTGATCCTGCATAGCTCACATAACGGCTTGCGGTTTGCGTCTTTGGAGCCGGAGAGGGTCCAGCACGGGTGGTGGGGTTCTTTTTGGGGGTATGTTTTTTTGATTCTTTTTGGGTATTTTGGGTTTTCGCCGGCATGGCTTCAAGCGCCGAGTCGGTCAGTCAGTCAGTCGGTCAGTCGACGAGCCCGCCTCAGTCAGTCAGAAAGTCAGTCAGTTGGTCAGTGCCTTTCAGTCGGTCAGTCGTCCGTCGAGCCGCGAGCCCGCCAGTCGGTCAGTCAGTCAGTCGGTGCGTCGGTCGGTACGCGTGCACGCCGGTCTGTCAGTCGGTCGGTCGGTCGGTCGGTTGGCGCCAAGGTCCGGGCAGTCAGTCAGTCGGACAGTCGCTCAGTCAGTCCGCCAGTGTGTGAGATATATGATGAACCGATACCGGCAAATGAGGGGGCGTGTTTAAGATATAGGATGAACATGGATGAACCGGAATCGCTAAATGAGGGGGCGTTTTCAAGACATATGATGAACCGGAATCACCAAATAAGGGGCGGCGTGCTTAAGTGTCTAAGATGTGTGGTGAACCGGACTCACCACATGAAGGCGCGTGTCTAAGACATATGATGAACCGGAATCGCCAAATGATGGGGTGCGTTTAAGATTTTGATGAACAGTTGTCGCCAAATGGGGGAGGGGGGTTACGATATATGATGAACCCATATCGCCAAATGATGGGGCATGTTCAAGATATATGATGAACCGGACTCACCAAATGAGGGGGCGGCGTGTTCAAGATGTTTGGCTAACCCGGACCGCCATGGAATCGCCCAATGAGAGGGTGTTTAACATGTCTGATGAACCGGAATCGCCAAACGAGGGCGCATGTTTAATGCATAGGATAAGCCGGAATCGCCAAATGAGGGGGCATGTTTAACATGTATGAGGAGCCGGAATCGCCAAAAGAGGGTGGCGTGTTTAACATATATGGTGAACCGGAATCGCCAAATGAGGAGGCTTGTTGAAAATACATGATGAACCGGAATCGCCAAAGAAGGCGCGTGCGTAACCTATATGCTTAACCGAATCGTCAAACGAGGGCGGGGATGTGATGAACCCCCTAGCAAATTTTGGGGCGGGGTGGGATGCCCCCCCAACCCCCCCGGCTTTCTTAAGCCCTTTCAACGTGCTTTAGTGAACGTCGTACCGTCAAGAATGCCATTTCGCCTTTCGCGATGTCCGGTCAAGCACATAACCTGTCCCGCTCTTCCTAGAGGCCCGACCCTTCCGCTTGTTTTGGACCACGCAAGCTTGCTCTAAAGAACATCCTGCCATCAAGAACGAAAAGCCATTGGCACGGAAGGCAACTGGGTAGACTAACGGGGCCGGCGGTCGGCCCGTTGGATTTACAGACTGAGTGACCGATCGATACCCGAAGACCAGTAGGCCGAAAACCATAACAATTCACCAAAAAAGACCTCGAATACAGCCTCAATTGTCGCCATCCCTGTGACTCTTGCAAGTTTTGTATATGGATCGAACCGGCAACCAAAAAAGCTAGTCAGATAAAAGCAACAACCAGAAAAAAAGGAAACAACAACAAATACAAAAAACAACCTGCACCTGTCCACCACCGCCATCACTTGTCGTGACTCATTCGGCCTGCCTACTTGTATGTATCGAGACATGATGTGCTGCAGAGGCTTCCTCATAAGAACAGCTGGCCTCCTTATCACAGCCCGCGAGTCACATGAACATGGGACCCTAAGCCCAAAGCCACAAGGTAGAGACGTAAACTTTTGGGCTCTCGAAGGCGATGATGCGACGTCTTCCGCAAGCTTCAGCACTGCCCTGGCCTGAGGACTTTTCTGCCGCACAGAGAGAGTCGTGTCCCTCTGCCGGAAACGGAGCTCATAGCTCGTGTTGTGCTCAGGCCGACACGATTTGTAAGGTCAGCGGCTCAGCTGGGAGGTTGTGAGCCACCGCAAAGTCTCACGACAGGGTCAGGCTTCGGCGGCTTGAGGTCCGCAAGATGTCTCAAGTTCCGTTTAGGTGTCCACAGTACGGGGCCCGATTCCTCTTCAGGTCGAGGTGGAGCTCGTAGAGGAGCCGTCTGCACCCGTACTGGGGTGGGCGAAAGTGTCATCACCCTGCGCGAGCGCCCCGGATGCCAGAGATCCGAGTCCTCAGATTCCAGCGAATGGTCACGGGCCCACGACGATCCTCCTCAGCCTTGGACCTTGCTGCATAAGCAGCTGATCCTAGTCGGATGTAGGTACTACAGAGAATAGGCGCACCCGACATTCAAAGCACAGCCAGCCAGACAGAGCATGAGCTACAGCGAATGACGGACGTAGTGTGACCAGCACCCTCCAAACGCAATCGTCTCACTCCTTGAGCCGCTGAGGCCTGGATGGAGGTTGACCTAGACAACGAACTCGCGCGAGCGAAGGCCCTTGCCCGTTTGAGGGGTGTCAGGGGTGTGGACATGGAGGACAGCTTAGCTTGACACTGCAGGACCACAACAACTGGTGGGCAAAGCTGTCGGGCGAGTTTCGGCAAGCGTGGGTCCCATCTGAATTCGGCTCGTGCGCACGATCCGAATCTCGAGCCGGCGCCTCCCAGACTCACGCCAGGCTCGACAAAGTTAAACTCAATAGAAGATAGCTGCCGCCCGTCCACTTCCAGCTGCAAATCGTCGGGCTTTTCGGGCTCAAAGTTTGGTTCAGGCCTTTTGACGGATTTGTGTTTCACGGTTCAAGCTCTTGTGGATGTTTGGGGTTTTGGCCTTGAGGGTTTTTGCACTCCTCCTTCAAAGACCACTTCCAATCCTAAACCCGAAACCCTAAACCCTAAATCCTTTTGCGACGTCAGCCAAAGGCCACTTCCTGCGTTCGAGCGGAGCGGCGCCGCACCCTCGAGCGCTACGAAGCGGTGCGAGGACCCAGGCGGCCAAAAGAGGAAGAGTCAAGAAGAAGAGGGCTCTCCCCAAAGAGTTCCTCTGCTTTCAACTCCTCATTTCGTGAATGTTTTTTTCTTGTTTTTGGGCGGGGGTGCATTTCAGCTGAGATTGGAGGGTTTATGAATTGTACCAGCTGGCTCTCGGGTGTTGGGCGAGGTTCGGATTTGACTTTACGCCTTTCTCTGCGTTATGCAGGGTTTGGAGTGTAATTGGCTCGATGCTTGTGGACACAGGTGTTTCAGCTCTCAGGATGCTCGAGACGAAGCTGTCGTGAACATGCATCAAATCAGCACCCCCACCCAGGACGACATCGTTGGGTTCTGGGCACTGGCGGGAGTTTTTTAAAGAATCCTCCGAGGTTGCCGCCATGTGGCGAGAGCTGAGCGTGGACAACGAGGCAGTCTGCCAGGGTTGAAGTCAAGTAGACACCCTGAAACACGGGGCTGGGCGGGTGGTCTACACGTTGGGCATGGAATGAACTGGGTCTAAATGTCCCATCGCCGACATAAGATGCCCTTGTCCCCTCTGTGCTGCAAGGATGCTCAAGTCTTCGCTTCGAGAACAGAAGAGCCTTTACTGGATGCAATTTGACCGAATTACATCTTTATTCCATGAAGTGCTCTTCTCCAGCACTGATGCCCCCTATGATTTTGATTCAGACCTGCCCGGCGGAGGTGTTGCACACCATCCTCGGATACGGGACTGAACGAGCAACTATGGTGATTGTCCACCAGGCGGGTGACCTGAGCACAGGACAGCGGAAGCGAAATCAAACGATTGCAGTTCTACCCAATTTCTTGCAAGGCCAACGCGTTAGCGCCTGTTCCGAATGGGGTCTTCCGTTGTTGAGCGCATTCCAGCTTGAACAGCAGAAGCTATTTTCGTTCCTCATGTTGCCAGACAGCGCCAACATTTCACGGACTGCGCCACTTCACTTTCTCGAAAGATCGTATCTGCCCCAGCAAGAGACGAGTTGATTCTGAAGGCTTCACGGCACGCCTTGGTCACAAGCCCTCGGAACGGAGTCAGTCACCACATATATATAGATCTCTCTGACAGATCTGTTCCAAGTCTTCAAGGCCCATGATTCGTCGAGATGCTTTGAGAACCATGAACTGGTCACACACTCTCCATCGGCGTAGCTCTATTTTCAGATGCCTATGTCAATGTCGTTTTCCGACCCAAACCCTGTTCTGCGATGCAGTGACTCTCAGCCTCTCAGCCCACGCGGCTCCTTAAGGCTGTCATCTCTTGCTGGCGCAAGGCTCGAAGGCGGGACGGGACGAGCACCGCCTCCCAAACGACTACAGTCACCTACAAGTAGGAAGAGAAAGGTATTTCGAAAGTAAAGTAAAGCCGCCAGTCATCACCTGGGAGCTCTCAGGGCAACATGGGGAGGTATTCGCAAGATCCGGGTTTTCATTTAAATTCGGGTTTGGTCATGTTGCAGTATCGCGGAAGGGTGAATAATGACCCTGCAAGCGTGCCATGGCCCGAAACACGACCGAACCCCTACCTGTCTAGGAGTCTGGGGCAAATCTATCCCGGATCTGCAAGGCCATTGCGTACCTTCACGAGAACGGTGTGACCCACGGACATCTTTGCCCAGCAGCTGGCTGAGACAAATCCCAAGCCCTCGCTTCAACAACTCTGGAGTGTGATTACAACTGACAATCCGTTTTCTGCACCAATGAAGTGTTTCCAACATGTGACACAGGAGTGCCTTGCAATATGCAGGGCCGAGGGTTTTGCAGGCGAGAGACCTCCGCGAGACGTAGCGTGCACCACTTGGCCAAGGAAAGCTTTCTGATGGACGAGACGAGCTTAGAGCCTCGTGCCGCCAGCTCGGCTTTTGGAGTGCGCAGCGGTCTCGCACCAAGCATGCCCGCTTCTGTCCCTCGTGTCGCGGGGGTCCAAGCGGTGCCATCACTTGCACGGAGCAAGCTGCTCCCTGAAGCGAGTGCAGCCAAGGTGAGACTGGCATGGACCCCCGGTCAACGCCGGAATGAAGGGCGGCTTGGGTCTGCAGGGGTTCTGTTTGGGCTAGGTCTGGGGCTAGGGCTAAAATTTCAATTAGGACTTCAACATTTCAACACTGCCCGCGTTGCGGGTACTCCGCTGAGGGCCTTCTGGGTGATGGGGGAGACAGGGAAGCCACATTAACAGGATCAACACCGGAGCGGTGCGTTCTGAACTTTGCAAAGCTGCCGACGTTCTAAGTTGATCAAAGAAGTTGACGAATGTGTTTCGGCTCTTACATGCTAGCTACCTCATCTGCAAATCACGAAGGCAGGCCGCTCCGCCTAAATGGTCCTGAAAGTCGGGCGTATGACGTATGTTATGAACAGTGTGCAGGGTATGTTTGGAAGCATCCATGCATGCAAGTGTGCATGTGTACATGCTTGCACTTGCACACATACGCCTGCATGCATCTACCTGCATATACAGATCACAGACGCACACAGGCACATGCAGGCACACACACACACACACACACGTGTACATGTACGCACGTCCACATACACCTTCATACACGTATATATATATATATATAGATAACCTAGATATACTGCATACGCATTCATACATATTCGCACGTCTACATTGTTTGATATGTATATATATATACACATGTATATACATATGTATATATGTATGTCGGTATGTATGTATGTATGTATGTATGTATGTGTGTGTGTGCATGTATGTATGTATGTATGTATGTATGTATGTATGTGTGTGTGTGCATGTGTGTATGTATGTATGTATGTATGTATGTATGTATGTAGGTATGCATGTATGTACGTTTGTACGTTTGTACGTATGTACATACGTACGTACGTATGTATGTACGTATGTATGTGAGGTGTGAAAACATAAGCATACAGCCACATGTACAAGCAGAACAATACACAGACAGACATGTACAAACACATACATGCACTTACACAGACATCCTTAACATAGATGCATATCCACACATATGCAGATACACGCATGTCCACATACGTACTTAATACACATACAAGCACATGTGCATACATACGTATGTACATACATGCGTAATTACATACATACGTGCATACTTACGTACATACATACACATGCATAGACATGGATACAAGCATTCCCATACACATGCACTCGTACATACATGCATGCTTACATACATACATACACTTGACATAACATATATTGACATACACAGCTACACATGCACACATATATGCGCGCACACACACACACATACACTCTCACACACACACATTCACATAGATACACATACATACATCCGTGCATGCATACATACA